GATAAATCAATTATCCTTGCCGTATAAAACACTTTTTCGACCTTTTAAAGAACATTGATCTCTCTTAATGTGCGAAAGAGTAGTTGTGTAATGTTTTTTATAACTTACATAAACGCTACTAAAGTCGAAGAAGAAAATGCCTCTGGATGTATTACGGAAATATGATTGCTAGCCATGCGCCTATGGTAGTAGATAAAATGCTCATGAATAATCTAAGATTCACTTCAAAGCTTTTAATAGATAATTTAAATGGAATAAAATTAATATAAAGTAGAATGCAAACATCAATATGCTGATCTTTGTATTATTAGTGTCACAAAAATTCGATTATCATGTTATTCTAGCAAAATAGCTGAGGTAGCTGCTTGTACTATTTTAAAAATCATTTTTATTCTATAGTTACTTACAATACTAGCAAACTGACTAAAGTTTGCAGGGAATTCTTGCCGACTACAGAAAGCTTATTCTTTGTTAAATCTCTTGAATAGGGAAAATTCATACATCATTCGTTACATTCTATTTATAATTTTTATCTACAAATATGATATTCAACGATGTTGTCAACGAACTTTAACCGTAAATTACTAACAAAAAAGTCAATTCGCGAAGACTACTGAACGAATTATTATCAAGCTCAGTAATTGAATTAAAGGCCATGTCCCTAATAATTGAAAGAGAAATAAGTATGTTTTACTTTGACATATTTTTTTAGGAAATGCTTCAAATAGCAAACAACAACTGATAAAAGAAGTATAAGGGTATAATACGAGCTATCTATTTCGAAATAAGTAGCTTACAAAGTTAGAAGATGCTTTAAATTTGTAAAAAACTCGGAAGAAACTCTGGCTCTCCCAGTATTTCTAATTCGCCTATATTAGTATCATAAGATCAATGCTTTACGCATAATTGCAATATAGACATCATGTAGGTATTGTGATAACATGATAGATATTTAAAATTAAAAAAATTCCTACAGTATAATTAATCTACTCGGCTTAGAAAATAAATGCTGCACTTCAATTTTCAAATTGTTGGATAAACTCCTATGTTTCGAATATGAAATATAGATAAATTAGAGAGTTTTTTGTTAACACCGCACATGAATTCGCTTATTTGCAAAATTTCTGAAATAAGTTAGTATAATCAGGAAGTGATTTCTTTGACGATTTAGATTCTTTGCTAATGACTAATTTCTAAGATAATTGCGAAACTTTTTCATCTCCATTAAATTACTCACAGGGCTAACAATCTAGGAATTCTGTGAAAGGCATTAGAATAGCTTCGCAGTTGATTCTCCGTAATAGACCTAATTGATTGGTAATACAACAAAGTCAGGTATTTGAATTCTTTTGGTTGTATCCATTATAGAAACCTTATAGATTCGTATAGTAGAAATAGATATTTACTAAATTGATACAATATAATAAAAAGATTACAAGTATTTCAGTTTTTTCAGATTTGAGAATGAATGGGGTCTAATAACGCTGGTTCTCGTCTTTGACATTTTGCTAGGTAAAGGTCGAAATTATCATACAAGAACATTGAAAATTTATGATATTATTTCTTGGAATGATTTGTCAGTTTTTTTTAATAAGTATGCTCAAGCTATTAGGTATATCAAAGCTAAAATTAAAAAAACTAAACAAGTAGTAGTGAATAACATTAATCGATCCTTACAGCCTGACAAGATTGGCAAAGATATAAAATGTTGTATTTGTTACCGCTTCGATTACTGTTTGTTCCAGTTTTCTAAATCACATATATTATATAAATGAAGTTAATGAATAGGATTTTAGTACGTATTTGGTTCATTGCAATTTAGCTATTTATTGCAATGTATGTAGATTGAAAGATACATCATATATCGATAATTACAAATGAGTAACGTTCGAGAATTCTGGTTTCCAAGCAGACATTAAAGTCCAATTTCCAAAGTTGCAGGCCATCTCAACTTTCGATTCATAAATTCCATTAATGTTGATAACTGCACAACTGCACTCCATTGGACACCATTTTGGATTAAACTCAGGCTGAGGTTTATTTACATCTTCGGACGGAAATAATACAGAGGGAGGTCTAATACTTTGCTGGTCTATTATTTTGTTATAAAATCCGATCATGAAAATTCAAATAGTTAGAAAATTAGAACTTCATTAGATCTAATACAAAGATTAGCTACACACAGCTCTACTCCATCTAAATACAACCACTGAAAGACTTCTAGAAAGAAGAATCAGATAATTTAATGTCGCTTACTTTATACCTACGTAGCCTCCGCAATTACAATCAGCATATCAACATTTTACCTTATTTCACACATAATCGAATTATTATTAGTAACTCTATTTTACATCGGACCATCATTAATCAAATATGGAAACAATTAAAATATTCGCGTAGACATTGTTCTTACGACTCGAAGTACAATGAACTAAGCATATCTTTATATATGATTAATAGTTCTATATCCACCTTTGACCTCATTAGTAGCTCAATATCTTACTTTATATAGCCATCTGTACTCTAGCATAAAGTCTGCCATGTTTTACATGATAATTAAGAATAGCATTAACGTCTTACAATATAGCTAGACTAATACTATGCTTAGAAAAATCATAAAGTGTCAATTGCTATATCGATAACTAAATCGCTTATAGTAAATGCCAAGATAGCGGAGGCAAAATATTTATCGATACCACCTATGAAGAAGTAATAAGTAGCTGATGAGATTATAATTAAGACTAATTAATGAGCTTTACTAGTGTAAAATAACACCTAAAAACACTGTAAATATTAATGTTGTAAGATTTACATGGTTATTATAATTGTATTGCATTGAAAAAAGTAAGATTTGACACCTGTTTGTACGGTTTAAAGACATAGAACTAGGTAAAGGGCTAGATATCGTACTTAAAGGAGAGTCCCCATTAAGTTAGAGCAAAGAACTCTGTGCTACTCTGTTACCTGGTTCAATTAAAGCTTTTATTGTAAATGCTATTATTTATGTCTTGCTGACAGTAAATATTTGTATAAGTTAGTTTCCCCCACTGCAGGTCTCTGAGAGTGCAACTGAGATCGACTTGAAGTAGATACTACAGTTTTGGTCTGCTTACAAAGGCTGACTAGTGGCAAGTCTATCATCACAATACGATGTTACTTTACACATTTAATAATAAAGTTCAAACTAAGTTTGTTATTTACTGTTACAATAAACTAATGAACCCATTTTAATTAATTTCAGCAAATCATGACATTATATCAAACATTGCCATTGGATGACTGTTGTGAATACTTATCTTATGGTATCATAACATGGTACAAGAATCGGTGGTGGTAGTACTGTATAGCTTATTAGGTAAACGTAGCAATATAATCGAGTAAGCAATAGGCTTAGATTCTATGATAAAATCCGATCATAAAAATTCCAAAGTG